CTAGACCACCATTTCTTCTTGGTGTACCTAATAATATACAGAATCAACAGATTATGTATCAACAACCAAATAATTCTTCGCTACCAAATTTTCAACAATTCTCTCTAAATAATCCACTACAAGGACTTACACATTTTATTGAAAGTAGACCACCATTTAATCCTAATCAGTTTTCAAGCTCTATGGGTCCACGTGCAATTGCTCCACGATTGGAATTTGGTCCTAGAGGAACTATCGCAACACCGTTACAAGCTCCACCTTATAATTGCTCAACAAATCCAACATCTTTTGTACAAATACCACAAGGTTTCCAAAACTCTGGAGCAATTATGCAAGATAATCCAAATCGTCACTTGCCAAATACCCAAACTTCCTTATTACATGGAAATTCTGGTGGATCTCTTCTTGGCAATCCAAATGCAATGCTGTCTAGTAATTCGTCACAAATATTACATGGCAATCAATCGTTACCACTCCAAGGAAATCAAATATTGCCGATACAAGGATACCCGCGCCCACCGGTATCTAATCAGGGACCACCGATACAAAATCCCCCAAGCACACAAATGTCTAGTGGTTCTTCTTTTGAAAATAGAGCACCTTTTCAAGAACAACATTTTGAAAATCGATCTACGTATGATTCAAGACATCCATATCCAGATCAAATACAGAATAATCAATTTAATAACAATATAATTCCTCCAGTTTCGCAACAGTCTAATTCGAATTTACCTAATGTAACCTTAACTCCGGGCCATAAAATATTAATCAATCCACATTTCCGAGGCGCTGTACAACCAACCAATGATGGTGAGTTTATTATATATATATATACAAATCTGAACATTTTCTGAATAACATCTTTTCATCTATGCGTTATTAATTTACATTATTTTATTATACAAATAGCAAGACTTGCATGGGACTCACAACATTCAACGCCACTTCAGACTCAAGGTACTGGAGTCCAATTTAATCAGACTAATATGCCATATCCTAATCAAAATCCATATAATCAGTCTCAGTCTCAGTCTCAATCTCAGTCTCAGTCAAATCAGTTGCAATATCAACAGAATTATCAACAGAATAAGAGCGATGTAAGTACCCTATTTTTCTTCTAATAAATCATATTATTAGCAGATCCAATAATATATAGCATATTTTATTTCTAGGATCCTTATGCATACTTTTCTGATGTATGGCAAGAGAATAAGCCACAAAAGACATTAAATATTAGTCCAAGTAAACAACAGTATCCATTAGAAAGTAATTATTCGCGTGAAAGCAATTATAACGACAACAGTAAATATAAATCAGATGATCAATGGGAACAAAGAGATAATTATCAACAAGTAAGTTAATTATATGCTTTTATTTGAATGAGAATGATTTATGAATATATACTTTGAAACAATTATTTTCTATCTTAGTCGGAATACAGAGGATCTCATCTAAATTATCGAGAACGAGATTTATCATCTCGAACGAGAAATGATCATACCCACAAGCCGCAGCGGCCACTTCCTTCGTCTGCATACCGTAATGAAAATTATGAACAAAATCATATGCAAAAACCTACTAATAGTAGACCACCTATAAATACTGCACGAACGATTAATAAACTGCAGCAAAAAAGAATATGTCAAATTTCCGATAGAGAAGCTTCAGGAGATATAAGCCAAAAAAAAATGAAATCTAATAATAGAAATCTCCAAGAAGTAAGAACCGTAGACACGTTAGGCGATGCAGCTGAAGAGAAAAAAGTAATATTATTATATAATAAAATATAAAATACTATGTTATAATATAAAATGTATGTATAATACTATTATTATTATCTTTTAAGGAAGAGGATAAGGAAGAAGATCCAGAAATGCGAGAGTATAGAAAAAAAATGGAAGAGCAAAAACGTCTGAGAGAACAAATATTAAGAGAAAAAGAAACTAGAAGAAAAATGGCCGCTATGGAAAAACAAAATGAGCAAATTAATAAAATAGAGACGAATTTCGTTGGTAGATATCATTTTTTTTCTTTTCTATATATTAAAAGTGTACGAGATATAAGAAGAAGTGTATTATTGTTCCATATTTAATAGGTACAGAATGTAAGCAACAAGAAGCAAAGCCAGTATCAGTTCTGATGGGGGTTGTAAAAGATGCTGCACCAAACAAAAGTCGACCTGGTGTAGATAGGGGACGCGGGCGTGTTATCAATACACAAGCTACAGAGGTATAGCACTAAATATCATTATATTTTATATATATTTGAAATATGTGTGTGAAAAGTGAAAAACTGAAAAGTTGAAGAACAATTTATTTTACATTTTATTTCTTATCAATTATATATACATAAATAACTTGCTATATTTGCTATAGATATATTTAAATAAAAAATTGAATGAATCATGTTTTTATTATCAATCATATCAATCACTTTTTATATATATATATATTCACACGCATTATAATATATACGTATATATATCCAAAAAAACGCGAGTACACGCGTAATTTATATTATGCGCAGCATGCCTGTGATAGATGTTTGATACGACATTTGATATGATTATATTTTTAATATTATACATATATTACATATATATAAATTTATATATAATATTTATATACTTAAATTATATATAAACTTATATATAAAGAAATATATACATATACAAATTTTAAACTTTTATTGTATTTTTTACTTTCACTTTTAAATAAATATATTTTAGAATACATTTTGTTTTCTTTCTTTTCCTCCAAATGTTCATATACTTTTGTTACATTATTTTACAAGTTATATTAATTTTAATAAGACAGTTTTCTTCATATTTTGTATCATATAACTAATGTCATTTAATATTGTGATTAATATTATAAATAATAGAAATATAAAATATATCTAATAACACAATAATATATGAACTTTAAGCTGATTTCGATACACAATTATTACGAATATCATAATTGTGTGTATTTCTGTTTTAGGGAACTGAAAGAGCACCTGGCATGCGGATTGTTAGAACTATTCAAACTATACAACCAAACGATTCTTCGGATGGACTTCCGAGTAGTAATCAAAGCAGTGATAAAGTTTCAACAATTAGACAAATTAATCCACAATGTGGCATTAGAAGAGTTGTAATACCAAAATCCATTCAACCATCTAACTCGCAAAAAATTGCAACGACTATACAAAAAACTGTCTCAAATTTACAAAAGGGACAAGGTTCTGGAGCAAATATACTTCAAAAACTTGTACAAACCCAGTCTGGTATTTCAAGAAAATCGCCAATTGGACAAAAAATGGGTAATATCGAGAGAAGCATCGCTCCAAAAGTTGTTGTAAACGCTCAGAATAATCAAAGAATTGTGCTTCAAAAAGTCATGGTATCGCCCAAAAAAATGCCGGAAATTAAAACAAATACTGTTAAATTAGAAAATTTAGCAGCTAGTACTTCAGTGGCACAAATTAGACGTATGTGTCAAGGAATCGGAACCATAGAGGTGACTATTTTTGCACATAATTCCAAGGCAAATATATCATCTCGTAGTGTAATGTGCTCTAGATTGCACATTTAATTTATTTCATTCATTCATTTATAATTATCTTTTTTCGTTAATGATATGTTTAAAATATCGTTGAAAGATTTAAATTCTATAATTTACACAAAGTATTATATAATAATTTAAAGTACAATATCATTATATTTTTTATTTTTTATTTATGATTTGATTGTAATAAGGAAAAAGACGACCTTATGTTTCAACGCAAGATAATAATTTATGTAAACTACAATGAATTTTATATATTACTTTATGTATACTGCGATCCTACATTTCTTTTTTCTTTGTTTTTTTTTTGTTTTTCTTTTATTCAATTGTAAAACAAAACTTTTGTAAATGACATAAGTATTTTATTTTTGTTTAGAAAACATGTAAAACGATCGAAAACTTTATGATTTCATGACTTTCATTTATTATAAATTCATTTTTTTTTTGTTTAAATAAATAATTACGCTAATGTTATATAATAATAGTCTTTTTATTATTCATGTTGTAGAGTATACACATGGGCGAGGGTAATGCAACTGTCGTATTTAAAACGCAATCCGCTGCCATGGTATTTCACAAAAAATATCAGCGTAAAATGCTCGATCTATCGCTGATAACCGTTCGTCTTATGCCACAAACAAATATAAATAAAGCAACAACTACAATTGGTAAAAAGTCTTAAAGAAGATGACAAAGAAATATTCTCAATGGAATACACTTTTTAGCTTATAGTATAATAAATATATTACATTTACGATAATACAATTATACACTTTAAATAAATCTATTGTCAATATTTATTACTCGCATTGCCATTTTAAGGCAAACATATGTATAAACATTTGATATATATACTCAAATTATGTGTGAGGATAAGTCAAAGAGTATTTTAAACGTATAAGAAAAAAATATTGTATATCGAGTATAAGAAATTGTAGAAAAGGCTAAAAAAGAAATGAGATCCCTGTGGACTGAATTATTTGAAGTCGTCTGTAATATAATTATGTATTATATTGTATAATCACTTATACACCACATAATTCAGCGATGATTAATGAATTTGTATATAAAGAGAATGTATATTTCACATATAATATATATAAAATTAGAT